TGCATTTTACAAATGATGATTTGGTTCGATCTTATGTAAATTGGCCAGATGATGTTTCTGATCCACTGGAAGTGAGTACCTATTTAAAATATTTATTATACCTACTTCCCGAAAAAATTTTTGYARTGTATCATATTATTTTAAAATTATTCATTAGATACTATTATAGTTGATAACTCTTTACTACCTTATATTTAATTTTTTTCTTAGAGGAGTATTCCTAAGTTACAAAAGGGTGCTGTGCCATCATTATTTGGTAATACTGTTAACAAAAGCTTTAATGACTGCTCAGAAATCACACCAATAYTTGCAAGGTCACAATTCTGCACAGAGGTATGAAAACCATATCATTTTTTCATTACATAAATATTATAAAGAAAAAACATGTTTTTAAAATGTTTTATTGAGTAGGTAACGTTAATATTTAAATTTTATTTTTGATCAATATTGGTTGAATGTTTTAAACTGTATATTAAAAGTATCATACAAATGTATTGGACTAATGATTGATGGATAAATGGGACACTGGACAGTCTTGTATATTATATATTATATATTATATATAAATATTGCATTTATTTTATTAATATGTTACAGTATCCATTATGTCGTAAAAMACTTGATTGGACTTGTAGTACACCAATAATCGACTCATCTAGTATAAATTCAAATTGTAATTCTCTGGAGATACAAGTGCCTCTTTCTGATTATAATAATTCTTTCCATAGCAATTTTCAAACCTTAAATAATTCAGACAATCATCAGGTAAATACATCTATTTCTGTTTTATATTTCATTCCAATAAATTTAATGTTAGGTATGTATTTTTTTTAAATCAAGGAATTTCAGTTTATTACATTTTTCAAACAATTAAAATCTGTTAATCTTCCGACTGGATGGAGTTGCATTCAAAATGAAACTACATTAGTCTTTTTTTCAATGCAAATTCAAAATGATGATATCCCTAAAGCTACTGTTGAAAAACAAATAGTTATCCTACATAATTTTCAAGTTTCATGTTATGCTTTTAATGTCAAATTGAAACCCTCAAATTTTAACTTGAATAGTTTTGAAATTGGACCTAATAACATTGAAGAAGTTGTTAATTTATTAATGTTACTTGATAAAAAAAGTATCTGTATTGGTGGCCCGAAAGCAGTTAATTTTTCAGGTAAGTATTTAGTAATTTATTTTATATAATTTCACCAAAATTATTACCAAGTATTACCTTATTTTTATTTTTAGGTATTTCAGTCAAGAGTGCAAAACTAAATCATGGCACATGGCATCATTATAATTGTACAATTGTTATGGATTCACTTGGT